GCGTGGGAGAGCCCATTGTTGGGAGCCGGCGGAGGTTGGGGTCTGGGGGCGCCGCCGGGGGAGGGGGCACTTGGTGGCCTTGGGGCGTGCCGGGCGCGGGGGCCCGCGGTGAGGGATGGACGAGGTCCCGCAAGCGAGCCTGGGCGCTCGCTCCAGCCGGGGCGCTCGCCGCGCTGACGGCACTTTGCCCACCGGGCGCGGGCAGGGGGCGCGTGGCTTCTGCAGCCCCGAAGGCTCCTTTTGTCCGCCCGCGGCGTGAGGAGTGAGTGCCGGGGGCTTTGTTCGTCCGGGAGCGCTCTCCCTTCCCTGCCCTTGGCCTCGCCGCCGGCGCCGGGCTGGGCAGGGACGGCGGCGCCGGCTTGGCCCTAGGCTTGGGGGACAGTTGTTTTGGGGGGAGGTGGTGAGGGCGGCGCTTTGCTGCCCTCTCCAGAGCTCGCGGAGCACTCCAGAGTCCAGGACTGAGTCTCCCCGGACTCTCAAACGTGGGGAGAGGGTGGGTCGGTGGCAAGGAGTGGATCGGGAAAAGGAGCGAGGCTCGGGGGTTGGGTTGCTTGCGAGTTTGAGAGACCTAAGTGGGTTTGGTCCCGACGCTACTTGGAAGTTCAAGTTCGGGGGCTGCTCTCCAGCCCTCGCGGCTTGAAGTAAACGTGTTTCCTCGTACCCACCCCCTAACTGCTCGTACCCGTGGCCTCAGGCAGGACCGAGCTAGCTGCTCACCTCTGGTTGGGGCCACAATGGGACAGAACGGACAGGGTTGGAGGACAGGCTTGGAGGCCAACTGGCAAGGTCCAGGAGCGAGCGCCCGGTGTGGTCTGACGCTTTCCCTCTCTCTCTCTGTGCCCGCTACCCACTTTCCAGGTTAGCTTTATATGTCTACGAATATTTACTGCACGTAGGAGCACAGAAATCTGCACAGACCTTCTTGTCGGAGGTGAGTGGAACTCCCCCCATCATCCAATTTCTTGACACCCCTCCTCCTCACTATTCTTAAAGCCTTTGTTTTCTGGAGCAGCCACTGTGGCCACCATTTTGAATTTTTATCACCTTTTGGCATTTATTGTTAGTTGGTCTTCACAGCCTTTTGGCTCTGGGAAGCCCCTAGCCCATCCCTTCTCTCTGCTCCTCTAAGCTGTCTCTGCTCTCTCCTTTCTAGATTCGATGGGAAAAAAACATCACGTTGGGAGAACCGCCTGGGTTTTTGCACTCGTGGTGGTGGTAAGTTTGTGTGATAGTTTTGTGTGTGTGTTTGTTTTGTTCTGAGCCCCCGGCTTCAAGTGAACAAAGATGGGAGGTCTGGAGCGGGTCCCTCCATGCCTTAGTCCCTAGCGTTGCATAGAGCAGGGTGCCGTGGGGCCCTCAGGACTGGCAAAGGAGGAAAAGGGCAGACGAGGTCGGTGCCTAAGTTTCTGCCTCCTTTTTGCCCACTGTTGAGAACCCTACTAATCGTGCCTGGTGTTTGCATGGAAACTCCGTACTTTTACATTTCACTCTGAGGCGCTGGGCATGGGCTTGAAAAAAAAACTTGCATGGGTTTTTGTCAATTCTGCACGTTGCTTTAATTAGAGGGAGTGGGGGTGGGGTGGGTGGAGGGGCACCAGGTCTGTTTTACAACTGGCCTGCCCCTTCCTTTTTCTTCTGTGAGCTCAAAACCTTGAGAGAGAAATCCATGGGGACCTTTTCCAGGCACCCTGAGAAAGAGCAAGAAGGGGCTGCCACTTCCTTAAAGACACTGTTTCAGACCTACTGGACCTCCCCCCCCCCCCCCC